ACGTTACTACTCTAAGGCGGTTAATCCAGATTTAGCTTAAGTTTAGGATAATCCTTTACGTCATAGTTTGTTCATTGAATGCTTATCTTGACTGATTCGGTTATTAAAACTGCAAACTGTCTAAGTTCAAATGGCTAAGGGATGCAAGGGTGGCGTACTGATGACAGCACTCGCCTCCCACCAATGTGGCCTGGGTTCAAATCCCGGTGTCGACGCCATATGTGGGTTGAGTTTGTTGTTGGTTCCTCTCTTGCTGTGAGAGGTTTTTCTCTTGGTACCCCGGTTTTCTGCTCTCCTCAAAAAACCATGCAACATTTCCAAATTACAATTCAACAAGGAATCAGGTAGAGGAATAACCTCTTAATGGATGTGCTACATCTAAATTGTTATTTATTTGTTTAATTACAAAAGTGGCGGACGAGTTGAACGAGGGACTTCCGGGAAGGAAATCAAGCTTGTGTTCAGTGCAGAACTTGCATCTTGGATTTCCGGATTGCATCTCCTATGCACCCAGCACTCGGCCATTCTTCCGGCCTCCCTTGCACCGCATATTAGACAATAGACAAAACAAAAAAGGATTTTAAGAATCGAGAAGTTTCTTAGGCCAAGCTACATCAGAAAGGTAATCAGTTGTTTTGGTAATATTATGATCGACAGGTGTCACTCAAGAGACCCAGCACAGGTCATTCACGTGCACAACCCCCCATGAGACCAATGTCTGCATTACAGGGTCAGTTGATTTCTTTTGTTCAGTTGTTTGTTTGTTTCTTTGATTGTTGATTTCTTTTGTTCAGTTGCTTGTTTGTTTGTTTGTTTGAGGACAGGCTGTGATATATAGTGGACAAGAATATTCTCACGGTATCACTTAGTAAGGGTGGCAGAAAAGTGGCATAAGAGTATTGTACAGAAATTCCAACAAATTTTTGTAGGCCTATCCAACTCATCACTTGTGTTTTTGGAACTGAGCCTGTGAACCATCGATGCCTGTCCCCTCTTTTACTATCGTATTGTCTTTTACTGTTCCTAGTTTTGAGTGCCAAGCAAGTGGAAGAGCAAGTAAAAGCAACACTGCATGAACAGGAGTCATTTGAGGTTTCCATCGCGTCACGGTGAGTGTAATTCTTTTTCACAAATACACTTCACTTCTCAAACCTGAAGAGTAAAAAATGCAGCAGCTGATCAAATCAAGCTTAAAGGAGCTGTGTTACGGCTGTCTAGTTCATTTTTTCAGTCAGTGATTCGCTATGGACCTCAGCATTAGCGAAGAAACTACTTGTTAATATCAAATCACAGCTTTGTGAAAAACAAATGTGTCCCTCAAGGATCATATCAATCGTTACAAAGAACAAAAATGAACTTTGAAAAACTGATAGGCTAACACATTTTCAAAAGCCACAATTTCAATCTTTTTTGATATTCTTTAAAGTTTGTCCATCCGTGCCTTGTGGTTGTATTTCGTGCATTATTTATACCTTTGATTAATGTTTTGAGTGGTTGTTTAAAACATGAAAAACGATTCGGCTGTAGTTCTCTTGGCACTGGGTGTCAATTTCCCGCCTTTTTTTCCAGCTTTAAGTTTTCCTGCCCTTGTTGCCAGGTTTCATGTTGTGTATTCAAGTTCTGATTGATTCTGACTCTCTTTTCAGATTTAGCATCGTGAAAGATCTGGTTGAATCCTTGCCTTCAGAGTTAAAATCTCAGTCACAAAACGGGCCGTTACCAGGTAGAAAAACAAGCTTTTGAACACACATGCATCACTCCCTTTATGGCTCCACTGATACTGTTGTTCAGTTTTCTTATTTCCTCTGAAAAAGTTATGCTTTCAGAAAAAAGTTATAATTATAATGGTAATTTTTCTCTCGCTGTTCAAATTCAGTCAAACCCCATTATACGGTCTATGAGGGGGCCGTAGAAGGTGTCCATATTAATGGGGTACCCAGCGTGTACTGTAAATGATCGATTTAGCACCGTGGCGCTTATTTTATTTCCATTTTCCCTGTTATGGGTATGGTGCTTATACAAGAGTGGTGCTTATTACATCTACGGGTAAAACAGGGAGGGGAATATAGAGAGAATTAAGTGAGGCATGTACTTGGTATTATATATGCACAATTTTATACTAATAGCATAAAATATGTACACCTCGAACTGTTATATGAACCTGGTTTTAAGAGTTTGCCTACACCAAAACTTTAGAACTCAGATCACAAGTTGGTTGAATCTTATTTCTCAAGCGATATCGAGCGCCATAGCAAAGGTGGGGCGTTTATTTGTAAACACCCAAATTAGCGCGGCAGCGCTTATTCGTGAGCAATGCTTATTAAATTATGGTGAAGTTGGGGCGCTTATTTGAAAGCGGCACTTAATCGAGTAAGGGTGCTTAATCGATCATTTACGGTAAAGCGGTTTTGAATTTACTGGAAAACGTAATGGCTTTCTTTCCCCGGTGACAAAGCAAACAGTTTGAGGTGTCCATATGAAACTGGTGTCCATAAAGCGGGGTTTAACTGTATGTGAATTTCATATATTCCCTATCACTGATGTTTATGTATGTTCTGTTTCAGAGCTGGGTGCATTTGATTTTAACCCAGCAAATGCATCCAGACCGGGTACAGCCGGAGACGGGAGCCGACCTACCAGTCGATGTAGCTGGTGAGAGAAGGACCACAGGGATTTGAATAGTGTATAGGCCTTTTTGGCTGAAAAGTAGGAGGAAAGATGAATCATTGTTAACTTTTACTTTTTTACATTTTGTATCTGTAGTCGATCCAGAATCGCTGAGGCCAGAGCATTTGCGGCAGAACACTTTTATACTAACCAGAGCTGATGCTGGCCCCCACCTTTAATCACATCACAACATGAAATATAAAAGAGTGGAATGGCTATCAAAGACCTATGCAGACATTTTGTTTCAAGTCATCACATTCCCCGGCCAGGTCAGCAAACAGCTACGTTACAGTTTTGCCGGAATGGCTTATTCACAAAAAGGACATGAAAACGCACCAGAAATATCTGGTGTTAGGACGGAATGGAGACAGATAGTTGAACACATTTCTTGTCGCTCAGGAAATACAAGGTGTAGCTTTAAAAAGTTCATCAGTGTTTCACCATGGAATTGTTTCACCTGGATCGAGATGGAGTGGTCAAATCAAAAGAACCGGAGAAGTTAATAAACGGGCAGTTTGTTGCTGGAAAATACTTTTTTACTACAGCTTTATTAGCATAGTAAATGAAGATTACAAAGGGTATCTTGAGTACCCTCATACTACATTTTATGGACTTTTGAACTATTCTTAACTTACAATTCGCAACAAACTATTTATTGTTAGTTGCATTGGGCTATGCTTTTTGTGCATCTTGTCTCACAATCTGCCAAGCGTGATTGGCCTTTTCGGAGTTCCAAAAACTCTCATTTTCAAACTTAGCTATGTACAAAACCTTTCTTGTGAAAAAGAGTTTTATTTGCATAAACTCATTTTCATATCAATGGCTTTTCTCTTAGCCTTGCTTTGAAACAGAGGCTTGAGGCAACTCGTAAATGGCCCATTTAAATTTCATCAAACATTTTTCGCTAGTGTCTTAGGGTACTAAACATTACAAGAAACAGTTAGGGTAGCGAGTCACGATTCACTGAATTTTTTAAAATCCTTTGAAATGTTTCTTGCAACTTTATTTGCATTACTAACTCTCTAGTTTGCTATCAGTTCCATGTTCAGTAACTTTTTAGTGAATTAACTTAGGTCAAGTACAAAACGCTTCATGTGAAAACAAGTTATTTGCACAATTAACAAAGATTCACAAATTAAGTCAGCTGGTTCTATGTTTTGATCCATGGATGACCTATTCAGTGCAAATATCAAACAGTATTACAGTGCAACCAGGAAAACCATGAACACTTGATCTCAGGAATGTTTATTGTGTTATGACTAATCACAGCAAAGAACAGGACATGTGAACTAGCCACAAAACCCCAAACTAAATTAATATTCTAGCTTGCGGTTCAGTTTTTTCACGCCTGATTGGCTTTTTT